CTTTGTAATACTGATAAACATGAAACAGTGCAGCCCAGAAAGGATTTTTAGTGCTGGTAGTGCATACCTGTAATCCTGGCTACTTGGGAGGCTGAGATCAGAACTGCAGTTTGATGCTAGTGTAGGCAAATAGTTCATGAGATCCCACCTTAAAATAACCACAGCAAAATGGACTGGAGGTGTGGCTCAAGCCTGCTTTGTAAGAGAGAAGCTCTGAGTTCAAACCCCAGCTCCCCTCCCCCAAAGTGTAACAGAACACCAGCACTACCAGTAATGGAAATACAATGTGGTGCTACCCAAAATAACCTTGATTGTACTAATAACATAACATTTGAATGAAGGGAATTTTCTCAGTCTAAAATTTAACCAACTGAAATTGGTTGAGAGCCGGGTATGGTACACACCTGCCACCTGCAATTCCAGCACTCAGGAGGCATAGGCTACATAATGAGACCCTATCTCAAAAAAAAAAAAAAAAAAAAAAGGTCCTATTGGTTGAGATTCAGTATTCCTTTAAAAATCATTCCATAGATAAAATACTTTGAATAAAGATTCTAAGGGCTTCTGAAGTGATTTGATCTGAGTATGTATTACAGACTAAATATTAGAAAATGGTCCAAGTAACATGCACACCTATACTTCAGTTTAAGACTTCAGGCAATTTAAATGTTCATTAGGAAGTGGTTTGTAATTTATTGCATATATATATCACTACTATGAATAACAACATTATGTGCTTACTATATGCCAGGCATTACATCTTATTTGTACTAATTTTATTATCTTCACAATAATGCTCTGAAGTGGGTACTATCATAAACTATAAGATGTATCTTGTAAGTGAGGAAACTAAGGTATAGAAAGGTTAAATTCCCCAAACCCATAAAATTAGGAGGGGACAGGACCAGAATACCAACCTAGTTGGTCTCACTCCCCAGAGGTTATACTCTCACTTTTACTTGATTACAATGGTAGAAAAACAATAAAGACAAGTCTTACACTCCCTTTACTTAAATTCTCCAAATGCTAGCCTTTTACCACATTTGCTTTGCATTTTTTCCTGAAACCTCTGATACTAAGTTACAGGCTATTATTACTCTTTAGTGTGATTTTCTAAAAACAAAATCACTCTAAAATCAGGAAATTTATGTTTCTTTAATGTGGAACAATTTCTTTGTTCTTATCTTTCATGCCTGGTATTTTGAAAAACACAGACCAAAGTCCTTTTGTAATATATTCCTCAGTATAGGGTTGCCTGATGCTTCGTCAAGATAAAATTCAAACTCGGTCATATTTGGTGAGAATAGCACAGAAGTGGTATCTCTTTAGAGCACTGTATTGTGGGAGGATACCTGGAAGCTAGGTACATCTCCTATATCTCATTAAGCTTTTGTTCGGTTTTAGTACCCTGTGACAATTGTTGACAGAAATAATTATTCAAAAACTGTGTTCTTACTGTTATGCAGTCAATAATGATGCTGTAGTAATGATGCTGTGTTGGAGTGCATAGTTATTCTCTACTGTCAGGGGAAACAAGCAAGTTGCAAACATTTTCTATATCTTATCATGTTAAATAAAATGTAACCTATCATTACAGAAAATATTTAACAAGACAGAGACCAAATTGGTAACAGTATTTACTTTTTTTTTTTTGGAAATGGGGTTTGAACTCAGGGCCTTGCACTTGCTAGTGGTGCTTCTGCCACTCCACCAGCCCTTTTCTGCTTTAATTACTTTTCAGACAGGGAACTTGATCTTCCTGCCTATGTGTCCCCTGTAGGTTGGATTATACATATGCAGCACCATGCCTGACTTATTTGTTGAGATGGGGTTCTCATTAACTTTTTTTTTACTTGGGCTGGCCTCAAATCATGACCTTCCAATTTCCACCTCCAGAGCAGCTATTTTTTTTTTAACATAAAAAAACATAAAAGTATATCTTTTCCCATGTAATTAAACAGTCCCTGTAATTATGCTAAAGGCTATATATATTCAATATGTATAATAAATTATTCATAGTTTATTCCATCATAACCCTAATGAGGCATTTGGGTTCACCACTAAAAACTATGACTGACATACTTAGGCATAAAGTATCCACATTCCTATTTCTTTCAAGCTGAGTTCCAGAGGTAAAATATCTAGCTTAAATATTATCAACATGTTTAAGACTCCATATATACGCATATATATATGTACATATATGTATATATAAAATTTACATTATACATAAAAATTCTTCTCCAAAACAGCTGTTAATACATTTTTCTTTTATAAAAACTAAAGTGCCAATTAATTGCATCCTGACCACCATCAAATATTTTCATTTTAAAAAATTTATAAACAATGAACTATTTATTTTATCATAAGAGTACACTGATGTTAAATTTTCTTCCTTTTTTGTAAGTCCGTTGTACCTAATACGCATTTATTTTAAAACAAAGTAATACAGGGATGGCAGAGTGGCTCAAGCCACTCTGTTAGGCAGGTAATAGCAAGAGTGAGGCCCTGAGTTCAAACCCCAGTGCTGCTTAAAAAAAAAAAAAAGTAATACCGACACATAATAAAAACATTAATAGTAAAAACAGGAATATATCCCAACCCTCCATACTCCAATTATCTTATGTATGAACTTAACAATCTCCTTTATTGAAAAATGAAAAACATGAAGACAGGCATGATAGCATATGCCTGGAATGCAGCATGCAGGAGATTGAGGCAGGAGGACCATGAGTTCAAAGCCAGCCTGGGCTACACAGTGAGTTCGAGGCCATTCTGGGGTTACATGGTGACACCCTGTCTCAAAAAACAGAAAAGAAAAAAATGGTAACAAGGAATATATACTTTTCTGTAGCTGACCTTTCTTACTTGAGATCTACACATAAATCTATTTCCTTTTTAAAGGTAGCGCGTACTCAATTGTACAAATATACAATGTTTTTGTTTTGTGGTGCTGGGAATCAAACCCCAGGCCTTGAACATGCTAGCTAAGCACTCTACTAGTAAGCTACAACCCCAGTAGTGAGTGTAGCATCTTTTAATAACGGATTGATATAGGTTCCAGATTTTAGTTTTTACAAATACCACAAATAACATCTTTGTACACAGTACATCTTTGTATTACAAGGGCAAATATTTGTGGGATAAAGTGCTAGAAGTGAAGGTACTGAGTCAAGACATGTGCATTTTAAATTATGATAGATGTTACCATATTGCTCTTTTTTAAAGGTGTGGAGTTTAAACATCCATCAAAAAGTATGAGTCTTGCTGAAAACAGAATGCCAAGTGTCAACTAATATATATGAAGGCAGTACCAGATATAGAAAGTCCTTATTTTTCAGCCACTACAGTGGTGGTCAGGTAATGGTTATTAAATCTAGGGAGAGAAATTTTAATGAGCAAGATATTTTTATGATCTAAAATTATTTCCCAATATACATCAAGACAAGGGGGAAAAAACAGTAACCATACAGTATTCAGACACCTTGATGACTAGAGTGATCAAAACATTACCATAGAAGGCAACTGGACACTGTATACCTCTAGATGTGATATCAGTAGACATCATTTATATCATGTTGTAGCCAGAATCACAATAATCTAAATCTAATCATGAGGAAAGAACAAAACCCAAGTGAGGGGCATTCTATTAAAGAGGGCTGTATCCTCAAAAATATCCACATTATTAAATATAAAGAAAAACTGAGGATCTGCTGTAAATTAAAGTATACTAAACAGATTTGCAATTAAATGCACACTTAATTCTAGCCTAAATTCTGTACTAAAGAGGGAAAAAAGTTAAGAAAGGACTAGGTCGAACAGCAGACATGGAAATATGAACAATGCACTGATATTTTCTGAGTTGAATAATCATGTTTTGGCTGTGCAGGAGAGTCCCATACGCGTTTGGAGGAAAGAGGTAAAATAATGTATGCAACTTAACTCTCCAACAGTTCCAGTAAAAAAGTACACACAATAAATACATGATACACTGAGGGACAAGGAGAGACAAAGACACACCATGAGACAATATACTAAAGCTGTGTGAGAATATATGATGTTCTTCATGTCATTATTGTAACTACTGGTAATTTAAATTATTCTCAAAGTTTTTATGAGAATTTAAAAAGAGGTTAACATCCCTACCACTCATACACAGCATGTAATGTGTTTCCTCATCCTCATTAACGTAATGTATAATAAAAAATTTCTCTTCTTTGCCAGTAATGGGTAAAAAATGGTATCTCAGTTTTAGTTTTCATTTTTCTTAAGTGAGATTAAACATTTTACTTTTAAAGGCTATTTCATTTTCTGTGAACTATCTTTTTCTGATTTTTAAGTATTTTTATACTTAAAATATATCATGCATTTGAAATGTACTTAGGTCTATGGCCATAATACCCTGAACATGCCAAATCTCTGAAATGTACTTAGATGTGAAATGATGATGAAGTAATTTCCAAGCACACTAATCAACTGTTCCAGGATTATTTGTTAATCCTTTCTCTTCCCCAATGATTTTGATGACTTTTTAGGTATCCTTTGAGAATGTAAGTATTTTTTAAAAATCTGTATTTCTTTTCATTCATTAACTCAAACTCATCTTTTTAAAATTCCACACAAATTAATAAGGTCTTCCATAATGACACTACATCAAGACAAGTATTTAGCTGAACAACCAATGAGTGGTTAAAAAGACAGTATTTCATAAACAACTCACAAATGATACATTCAAATGGACAACTCATTGCGTATATATTCAATTATTTCCACATACATAAATATGTAAACTTTACAAAAGTTTTACATACTGTATACTGAACCAGTCTTGGATCAGTAACAGCATTAAAAAGGAACTTAACTTCAGTAAGTGGGAGAATTCAACAAAAATAATCAGTGATCAATAATTTCAAAAGTGCTCACGTTTTCCCTTACATTTATCAGCATTTGAAACCTTATTTTTCATGATAAGGAGAAAAAAAAAATCTTTCTGTCTAAAATTCACAATACTTCCTTGTTCTGGGTTAGCTACTCAGAATGAATTGGAGGAAAATGTATATACTCTAAAATATTTTTCATATTGTTGCTTTTCTTAGCTTCTTCTTATCCAAACCCTGAAAGAATAGCCTTTTTTGTGTTGTAATTTACAAAACACTTGAGGGAAGGAACCACCTTCTGTTTTCTGTGTGAATGTCCATGACATTCGAACCACTATACACACATAGATGGTACTTTGTTGAACAGAACTGAATTACTGTAGTCGATATATTGTAGTTAACAACAGCATCACTTTTTTCTCCTCTTTATAAGGCTGAGTCTTGTTTTGTAGCCCATGGTGACCATGAACTTCCCATCCTCCTACCTTTGCCTCCTGATTTTTGGGATCACATATGAGTGCCACCACACCTGGTAATAACACTGCCTTTAAAATTGTTCTTAGAGACTGGGGGCATGGCTCAGGCAGTAGAACACTTGCCTAGCAAGTACAAGGCCTGAGTTCAAACCCTAGTACTACCAAAAAACCCCAAACTGTTCTCTGCCTATACAAGTAGGCAAAAATATGTACGATAAAATCATTTAAATACATCATAGTTAATAAGGTAGTCAACTAGCTTCAGGAATTCCTTTATTACATAATCTTACCTCTTCAAAAACAGCAGCTTTATTTACTTTTTCCCTTGCGATGTCACAGATTTTCAAGGTTCCGAGAGCAAAAGCTTTCATGGCAGGATCTTCTATAAAGTCAGGATTATGAATGTAAAGGCACGTAAATACTGTCTGTGCCAAGGAATGGCCTTCTAACCATGTTATCTATAGAGATAAAAGAATGTACATAGTTAAGGTGACACAGAATCTGCAAAGTCTATACTGATCCAATAGTCAAATGCCAGAATGCACACACCCAAATAAATAAAAGATTTAAAAGATAATTAAAGGGAAAGCCAGAGAAAACAAGAGTTAGAATTCACTTTCACTGAGTAAAGTTTTTCAAGGTTAAGTACCCCTTATCCGAAATGCCTAGGTCTGTTAAGTGTTTCAGATTTCAGAGTTTTTGGATCTGGAATATTTTCATAGACTTTATAGTCTGCTTTATAGTTTACTAATCTGAAATCAGAAATGCTTTAAAATCTGAAAATTATTGAGCATCATGTCAGATTTTCATATTAGGGATACTTAACCTGTACTATAAATTATTAGCTATCTATGGGAAGCATTCTCATATTTAGTAATTCAGCATGCAATATACTTGGAGACTAATGAAATTAGATTATCTCCTTATGTTGCATTCAAAGACAATTGTACAACATAGAAGATAAAATTTCATAAATTGGGGGATTCAAAATTTTAGAACTATACATGTTCTTTGCCTGTCATTCTACTCTTACCCTCATCATCACTTACTCAAGCAATAACATCAGGTTTCACTAGATTACTACAAGAAACTATGCAATGGCCTTCCCACTTTCCATCTCTGATTTGATATCCCCAACCACAGGGGTCTTTCTGCAACACAAAGATAAGCCTTCAACACTATTCACTACATGCTATAGGCTAGGAATACCAACTCAAGATTGAGTAAGTGCTATGTCCAAAGTAGTATGCTATATATTTTCATTTATCCTTCCCATTTTTTCCTAACCCTCTGAGAAAGGTGTTATTTTCCTCCATAAGGAAACAGAATCAAACGTTTAAATAATTTTCCCAAGTTTATACTGTTATATTTTACACTAAAGCCCAAGATGCTACTGTATTACAAAATGAGAAATGAATGTGAAAAATGTAATTAAGATGTGTACTTGGAATAACTACTGTGCAGGAGACTTTTCAGATCAAAAACCTGTCTATTAAAAAACCAATGTCTATTAAAGCCCAAACTCAAGAGCCTCATAGAATTAGTCGGCTTTGGCAAAAATACTGTTTAATTTTCCCTCTTTCTCTAGTGGCACACTCCTCCCACTTGGCCCCTTGCCAGACTTCAGCCACAAGTAGCTATTCATGATTCCCTAAACTGAACATTTTCACTCTGCCATGGCAATGCAATATACCCTTTATGCCTAAAATAGTGTTACCCTCTGGTCAACCCCGTGTCACTTCCTCTCTACAGTCTTTCTTACTCCCTGAACAGGGACATAATTATCCTCTTCTCCTTTCCTCTCTACCCCCCACGACTTCATTACAAAAACATTTACACAATTGTCAGAATTGTTCCTTGGGCATATCTGTCCTCAGTCTCTGCGTTTCTACCCCAGTAGGACTATACACTACTAAAAAGTAATATAGATATCTTTGAGGCAGAGACAGCTTCAGAGGATGAAGGATCAGGATTAGGATTATGGTTAAGTCCCTTCTTAGCAATACAACCATAGTCAATATAAGACAATACAGAAACCTAAAGGATGTAGGACATAAGTAGAAACTGTACATGTAAAACAACTAAAATGTGTACACTTGGCAATCAATATTTCCTAAATAAAGGAATAAACTTTACACGTTTCTAAGGATAATGATTTAATGTCAATTAAAAAAGAAAGAAGAGTCAGAAAGTAGGGGAAAAAATAGTACAAATGAGAATTTTTCCACAATTACATTACACTGTCTAGAAGACATATCCAGCAAAGATAAATCACTAAAAATTTTTCTTCATAGTAGAGAAGATTACCAGTTTACAACAATTTATCCTAGATTAGAAAGCTAACCAACAGTCGTATTTTAATTCTTACCAAACAACAAAAACATGTATCCATTATCCCTATCAATTCAGGCAAAGTGAGGTCTTTAATTTTAATAGTGCCATCCTAAAAAGGGAGAGAGATATAACATATAAGCAGAATTTTTTTTTTTAGATTTATGGTTACTAGTACAGTAGCATTTGAGATTTCAAAACAGATATTTAAAAAAAAAGCAATTTTAAGAAAACACTAACTTATCATCTGATAAAACTACAGTAAGACAGCAAGTTAACTGCATCCTTAAGATACTTGTTAAAATTCTATTTTTAAATGACAAATAATAATAGAACAGTATATCTTAAACAAGTCTAATAAGAAAAATTAAAACTTCTCTAATACAGTAAAAGTCTTTATAATGAGAAGTAACATCAATAAGTATTTTTAAAGCACACTTCAAATTGGGTTTTTTCTTTATTTCTTTGTTTTGAGACAAGATCTTACTATGTGGCCCTGGGTGGCTTGGAACTAACTATGTTGCCCATACTGGTCTCAACCTTAACAACTTTCTGCCTCCACCTCCAGAGTGATGGGATTATAAGCATGTGCCACCCACTTGGCTCAAATTAATCTTAAGCAGTAATAAATATGAATCATTTTAATGACTTAAAGCTACTTACAAAGAAAAAAAATAAACATTTAAGAAAATACTTTCCTGAAGTTAATTATATGACTTGTAATTTTAGTTACAATATCCATTTGCTTAGCCATTCTTTTTTCATAAAACATGCAAAATTAAACTGTGTGGAAACTACAAATGAATTTCTAAGTCAGCGCTGAGTAAATTTTAAATAAAAAACCATAGCATTTTGCTTAACATACTAATACATAAAATATAACATCTAAGCCAATTGTCCCAGCATCTGAATATATACACAAATGCTTTCAAACATTAGTTTAAAAAATAAAAATGAACAAATTTAGAGCAAGTTTGTAATGAGGTCCTCAAATAATTTCGAGATTTTAATTGCAATAGGTAATTAAAGGTTGTAACTAATTCTTGTTCATATACATGAAATGCTTTAAAAACTACATCTGTGCATACCGGTCAATTTCATTACTAAGTGCATTTTAAAACATGAAATACCAGAAGTTTTTCTTTTAAGTACAATGGTGAGTACCTTGATAGCTTGTTCAAAATTGAGAACTTTTCGATTAACTTGATTTCCAATCATGCCAGCATCCATCTTGGGATCCATCATTTCAATAGCAGACATAGCTTCAAAAAGACCAAATCTGCAAATAAATTAAACCCACAATTTGTGAACCCAGATTCCCATGATGGCCTAAAAATTATTATATTACTTTTAACAACAATGGTATCCTATGTAGTCTTTCTAATAATACTTTAGTTATTGTCCCTTAACACAAAAATTCTTTCATGTTCTTGTCACTCAAGTTATTTTACATGAACAGTGGGAGAAAAAAATTAGAAAAAAAAATCTTTATGCTTCCTTCAAAAAGGCTGTGCACTAGAAACTTTTGAAAATAAGAGATCAACTGATACATGATGTATTTTACTTCGCCTTCCTTAAATAATTTTATCAAATATTCAGAAAGTCACATTTGGAATAATCATTATCACATATAACTTTTACTTTATTTTTCATTTTCTTCATGTCTTAAAGTACAACACTCTGGCACATCATAAAAGCAGATAGTTGTGGTATACTGAAAGCTGATTAGTAAGTATATCATTACTTGAGATATGCCTTAAGAAATGGGAGGTGGGAGGGAACCCAACTAATGTATACACATATTAGTAAATATAAAAACAATAAAATAACATTTAAAAAAAAAGAAAAGAAATGAGACAGGAAAAGAAAAGTCTACAAGAAAGCAAGACTAGGGCTTGTGTTGTGGCACAAGTGGTAGTGTGGCTGCCAAGCACAAAGCCCTGAGTTCAAACCCCAGTCCCACCAAAAAATGTTAAAAGAAAACTTGACTAGTCATCAAACTACTGACTGTATTTTTTAAGCCATTAGACTTCCAGGAAAATAAACAACCTGCCTCATCATATTAAATCATTTCTCTCAGACAAACAGTAATAGAATGATATTCTTTTTATCCTAATTTCTCTAATCTCTTAACATTCAATTTAAGATGTCCTGACAATATTACATTATGACAGTATTAATAGAGACAACTCTCATCTACAAATTTGATAAATGTTAACCAAAACCAAATAATATTTTTCAAAGCTCATCCAAGCCAAAGGAGAAAACATTTGAATGGAAAAGAATTTTGTCAATAAAAACCATACAGATTCACCAAATATCAAATACTATAAAGCTACAAAAATTAAACCCATTCAATGGAAAATAACACAGTCCACACCTGAGTTTCTGTGAGAACTATGTATGACAAAGATGGAAAACAGATTAGTCAATAAATACTGTGGAGAAAAATGGCTAACCATTTGGAAAAAATTAAATCTTTGATTTACACAATTTGGAAAAATAAAATCCCAGGCAGATTTAAGTTCTAAACCTAAAACTAGGAAACAAAACACCAGTTTTTTACAAAACCATAAAGGAAAACATTAATTAACCACAACTGCAAAAGTAGTTTAAATTTTCAATGTGGATCAGCAACATCAAACCCTCACCATGGAATATGTCAGAAATCAAAACCTGGCCCCAAGCCAGACCTAGTAAATGTTTTGACTCTGGCCATGGATGTTTCCTTGTTTTTTTGTTTTGGATTTTTGGTAGTACTCGAGTTTGAACTTAAGAGCTTTACTCTTGGTAGGTAGGCACTTTCTACTTGTGCCATGCACCAGCCCTTTCTGCTGTAGTTATTTTTCAGGTAAGATCTCAGGTTTTTTTGCCCAGACTGGCCTGGACCACAATCCTCCTACTTATGCCTCCCTTGTAGCTGCGATGGCAGGCATGCATGCCACTAAACCTGGCTTATTGATTGAGATGGGGCCTGTATAACTTTTCCCTGAGCTGACCTCAAACTGCAATCCTCCAGATCTCTGCCTCCTAACTAGCTGGGATTACAGTAGTTTTTTAAAAGCAATTCCATATGATTCTGATGCACACAAAAGTTTAAGAACTGAATTCAGGTTCTCCTCACCCCAACAAACAATGTCCAATCATCCTGTAATTCAAAATTTAATATTCCTACTGAAAATTGAGCCTGGCCATAGTTCTATGGAAACTGAACCTACCCATGGGAATATAAATATAATTAAGCATTTCCTTTTATTTTGCTTTGTTAGGGGGACTCAGTTTACTTCCTCATAGGCATTTGGTCATCACCTGAAATCTGACCATCAACCAATCTATCATAATGGGTAATTGATATCTTTCAAGAAATCCTACAGTCAATAAATCTACTCTAAGAAAAGGATCATAAGTCAAAGTTTCACTAGGTATAACCATTTCACATCATAGCTAAGGTTAGCTGCCCCAAAATAGTTTACCAAAGTTAACAGTATATTTATAATTCATTTTTATAGCTTTGAAATGTAAATTTACCCAGACTTCAGGAAGTACTACTCCATATGAGAAAAAAAGATTGAATTATTATATTACACTAATTTAAAGGACACATAAATACTTACAGCTTATCATGAAGCAGTTCTCCCAACTTCAGCTCTAAAAGAAACAGAGAAAAATCCTTTGAATATATTTAACTTTCAATTCTATGAAAAAAATTAGAAAAACATAGTAAGAACCTAAAGAAATGTGCCTGTATATGTTAAAATTCATTTTAAGAAATAGTTATCTCTACTCAATTAAATGGTATAGAAAACATCTGAGGAAACAGTTAATCAAAACAGTGCTCATGGCACTGTCTGAGGAAGGTGTCCTGGAAATCTATTTGGCTTCAGCCTGTGTGACATCAGTTCTCACCAGGATTTCCTTCATTTCCACCCTGCTGGCTAGCCCTAAATTACCAGGCTGCCAACCACTGAGCCAGTTCTTAAAGAAAACCTGCTTTAAGAGTGTTAAGTAAGGGGAAGTGAACAAAATGGTGGACCTCATGGGCCCTGGTCTCTGCCACCAACCCCTAAACAAGGCAGTTTAGGCTTGGGGTGAAAAGGGAATCCTGATTTCCTAATGTCCATGTCCCCAGATGGCATTTGATAGATATCACCACCACTTTGTTGAATTACCATTCCTCCCCACTTAGCTACAGACCTTAAGCCTTTAGGTTCCAATGAGTATTCCAAAGCTAGCTACTACTGGGCTCCTAAGGAGCAGGTACTATGGAAATGTATTCAGGCTGGAAGAAACTTAGCCACCGCCCAGATTTACATATGGAAATGGCTACACTGAGAAAGAAGCCTTCCAGCAGGAGGAACTACACTGCTATTCACGCAGTGGCAGAGCACCAAGAAAAGATTGAAATAGGTGAGCTGGCAGCCTGCGATATCCAAGCAACAGGTATCACGTGAAATTCAACTTAACCTGCATGTAGCAACAGATGACAGGTTTTCTTGCTGGTACTGGATGAAGCCCATAGCCTTCTACAGGGCAAGGCAAGAGCTCTGCTACTGAGCTGTGGTGTCTCAGCCCTAGTTTACATTTTAGGTATGCCAGTCTGAAGGTTGTGCCAATACACGTGTAGGAGTATTTTTGTGGTGACCTTTTCCCTCTCCTCCTGTTACCTACATTACTCTTGATAAACATTTATTTGGTACAGGGTCTTGCAATGTAGTTCCAGTCTCTTGAACGCTGGCATTACAGGTGTGTGTGGCCACATCTAGCCTAAAAAAACCTCTCTTAAATAAATTATCTTAAACTCGTAAAAAAAAAAACTGCTCATGGGCTGGGAATGTAGCTCAGTGGTAGAGGGCATCACAAAAGAAAAAAACAAAACAAAACTATTTATTCCCTATAAAGCAGCAGTCTTCAACCATGGCTGCATTTTGGACCAACTGGGGAACTTTCTAAATCCCAGTGTCCCAGCAGCACTCCAAGCCAATTAAATCTAAGGATGGGACCATAGATGGAGGTTTTAGATCATTACAGGTGATTTCATTGTGCAGGTATAAGGTGGAACCACTACCATAACATGTTAAGAAGCTTAAACATTATTGGTCAAATCCTGTGGAAGGTGTAAAGAAGCAGTTTCCAGAACTTTATCCAATCCTCCTACCTAGTCATAAGTTAAACATCACTAATGTTTAACAATTCTAGGTACCAAAACAGATTACAGCATATATCAAAACACAACAATAAAGCAAATGCCTATCAGTGGATTATCAATGAATAAGTAAGACATTGTGTACACATCCAATGAAATATTATTCATTCTTAAAGAAGAAGGAGATTCTGATAGATGCCATAACATGAATAAATCTTTAGGTCATTAAGTACAAAAACAAAAGTCAATAACAAAAAGAAAAATACTGTGTGATTCCATCTATATGAAATACTTGGTCAAAATCAGAAACAGACTGTAGAATATTAATTGCCAGGCAACAGAGAAATGAGGAGATACTGTTTAATGGGAAGACTGTCAGTTTTACAAGATGAAAAGAGTTATTTATGAAGATATATGGTGGTAATAGTAATACAATATTATAAGTCATCACTGAACTGAACACTTAAAAATAATTAAGATGGAAACTTTATGTTATGCTTATTTTAACACAATAAAAAAGACCAGGAAAAGAAAAAAACCAAAAAGAAGAATATCTTTGATGAAGCAATAAAAATTATTAATCTCAGGGCCAGAGTGCAGCAAATGAGGTACTGACAGTGCAAAATGTGAGGAGGAATTCACTTTTGGTTCCTGCCTTCTTGTATTTTGAAGGTTCCTAACTCGCTTTACCAGATTAATCTAAAATGGGAAGCACGGCTGTCTCAAGGAGAAGCATTTGCACAATTATCATAGAACGCCATTTTTACCTGGAACAAAACAAATCAGTCAAACAAATTATGGTTATTCAGACTTGAGAATATAACTTATTCTTTTTTTAATAAATGAGTTTGATGATTCAAGAAAAAGACATGACATGTTTGTTCCCAATAATAAAATTTGAGCTTTCAAGCAAAAATTTAAGTATTGGAAAACATGTTTCTGCCACTCCAAGTGTGACAGTTTCCCAATCCTTAGAAACCTTTCTGGATCAGCAATATTAACAAATGTGCCTTTTAACATTGTATAATGAATGTGTCAACATTTAGAAGATCTGCACAACTCACAGAACTACTATTTTCCAAATGGCAGTGTATGTTACAAAAGCAGGGCTGGGTTAAAGATCCATTCAAAATTCAAGACACACCAATGGATCTTTATGTAACAGAGGATGAAATGTCCATTGATAGGGTTTTAGACTTTAAACTGAAACTTAACTTTAACTCTGTACCTTCTGACCACTAGGCCAGCGCTCTAGGACCTGAGCCACCCCTCCAGTTGAAACTTAGCTTTAAGAAACTACCACTTGCCAGGCACCAGTGGCTCATATTTGTAATCCTACCTACTCAGGAGGCAGAGATCAGGAGGATCAGAGTTTAAAACCAGCCCAAGCAAATAGATGAAGAGAACGTATCTCGAAAATTCTCAACACAAAATGGGGCTGGAGATGTGGCTCAAGCTGTAAGAGTGCCTTGTGAGGGCCTAAGTTCAAACCCCTAGTACCACAAAAAAAAAAAAAAAAAAAGAAAGAAAGAAAGAAAAGAAACTACCACTTGAGGCATATTGGTACATTGCTATAGCTATAATCCCAGCACTAGGGAAGTTGAGGTAGGAGGATTATGAATTTGAGACCAGATTGGGCTATAAAGCAAGTTCAAGGCCAGCCTGGGCTATATAGCAAGACCCTACCTCAACAAAACTAAAAAATAAAAGAGAAACTACTAATTTTCAAGTTTTGAGTGAAGTACCAAAAAATAGCCAAAATTTTCTGGAAAAAAATTCCTTGATTTTTCAACAACGTATTTGGTGAAGTCAGTTACTTCATATATTTCAACCAAAACACATGACAACTGATTGAATTACAGAGACAGAGAATTCAGAGATATTTGCAGCAACTCTACTAAATTATTTTTGTTTTGGAAAGATACTTACTTTTCATTTTAAAATACGTGCTCCTGTTACTACTCAATGGGTTTTCTATTATTGTTTTAAAATGTACTCATATTTCAAAATTTTTCTTTTTAAATTCTAATACAGTAAACACCAATGTATATATACAACGCACAATGATTTTAAAGAGAATACTGGCATTCTGAGTCCTGATAATCTATCCTATCATGCATTTAGGGTAAATCTGGGTACCAAAATAGCTTCACTAAAACACTTTATAAGATAGAAACAAGTCAATCTGAGCCTTGATTTCCTCACCAATAAAATGAAGGGGTGGATGGATGGCTAATAAGATCCCTTAGAACTTCAGTAATCACATCTCTCACCTGTCAACTGTAGACAGTAAACTTTAAATTTTACTCACAAAGCAGAATACAGGGACCCTCACTCATGATCAATAAATGCACAATGAATCATGATGTTTGTCTAAGCGAGGAAACTGGGCCTTATCTAACCAGGCAGCAGTTATCATTCAGTCAACAGAACATCATCACACATCATGAACCCCTAAAAGCTCTACAATACTAAGAAGAGCATGAGAGTCAAAAATGTCAGCACTATCTTATTACCACGAAAACAGTTTCAACTTACATGCCCTATAAAATGGTCTTGGGAATCCCACGGGTACCAGACTACAGCAAACAACTGATAATATGATGATTAAAAAAAAAAAAAAGTAACAGACAGTACTGGGGTTTGAACTCAGGGCTTTACTCTTCTTAGGTAGGTGTTCTATCATTTGAAGCACACATCCAGCCCTTTTTGCTGTGGCCAATCTGGATAGCAATCTTTCTATTTTATGCTTACCACTGTCACTGAGATGACAGGCACGTACCACCAAGACCAGCTTTTTTTTGTTAAGGTGGAGTATCACAAACATTTTTGCCCAGGCTGACCTGGAACCTTGATCCTCTTCATCTCAACCTCCCACATAGCTTGGGATGACAAGCACACACCACTGCACCCAGCTATTGGTTGAGGTGGGGGTCTCACTACTTTTTTTTGCCAGGACTGGCCTCAAACTGCAATCTTCCAGATCTCAACCTCTCAAGAAGCTAGGATTACAGGCATAAGCCACCCACATCTGACTAAAAAAAAAAAAGTTCCTTTTAAGTTAAAGCTTTAAGTAAGCTGGCTGAGGGCTGGTGAAGTAGCTCAAGTGCTAGAGGGCCTGCCTAGCAAGTGCCAGGCCCTGAATTCAAGCCCCAGTACCACAAAAAAAAAAAAAAAAAAAAAAAAAAAAACCTAACCCACACCAGTATATAGCTGAAAGCACTCACAGGAGAGAAAAGGGAGATATGGGGAAAACTTGGTCAAGCTACAGTTGTAATAATTCAAAACTTTTTGGAAACATTGATAACAAATTGCCTTTTTATTTCAGTCTTATTTATATTAGACATGAACAGAGCTACTGTGAGAGAAAATTTAATTTTGTGGGTTAGAATATCATGGCATCTTTCTAAAGATCTTTTCCTTTGCCTTAGAAATAAACAATGAATCATAATTTTTTAAAGGAGTTTGGGTATGTAGTAGTGCAAAGCACTTAAAGCACAGATCA